ATGAAATTACTTGAACATCTTGGAAAACATGCTCATAAGGGTTATCCGACCTGCTGGTTACGAAAATCACATCTGCTTAGCAAGAGAGCTTCATATTTTAGAGTTACGTTGAGAAAAATTTAGAAGGACATGATTTTTCCAGAATTCACCAGCCCTTCTAACTCCTTTGAAAAGGAGTACGCGGCTACTTTCCAGCGCTCCATAATCTACAAAAGAAGTACTATCGAAAATTTCTTTCTGAATGTACTGGGGGCAATACGCGCTGCTTCACACCTTTGCGAAGAAACGTCCGCAGAAAGTTTTGAGAATACTGAAATCGAGATATCAAGGACATTCCGCATACCGAAAGATTTGCCTTGATGAGCTGAGCACAATGCATTTTTCGGATTTAGAAAATATCCACTCCAAAGAAAGTTACGGCGAGTAGAATCTGGAAACGAGTGATTTTTCCAGAATTTACCAACGCTTTTTTCTCTTTTGAAAAGAAGCCTGCGGCAGCTTACTAGCGCACTATAATGCACAAGAAGAGCACTATCGAATGGTGCATACTGGAAGCTTTCAAGTTGGATAGGCGCTGCGTTACATACTTGCAAAGGGACCTCCTCAGAACAATTTGAAAAAACTGAAAACAAGATATAGATGACATGACGTATGTAGAAAGATTCGCCTTGACGAGATGAACACAGTGCTGCTTTCGAATTTAGAATATATTAATTCCGAAGGAAGTTATGGCGCTGCATAATTTACGATAATCCGGAATCGCGAAATTTCTGGAATTTCGCGCAATTCCCGTTCTGTGAGTGGTATTGTACATTGCACAGCACGCGCGGCATTCCGCGATATGTGCTTCTCATGCGATTTCCAACCATTTTCCTTTGTCTTCCTGCATTTTGGGACCCGTCATACTTCGCCGAGAGAAGCCCACTTTCACACATATCCATGCAGAATGAGCTGCCCAGTTTCACATATATCCATACAGAATGAGCTCTTAAACTATACCTGCCCTATTTCTGCTGTGCTCAATAGAATGTGTACGTAGCCTCTGGAATAAGCACACTGAATGGTCCATTTACACTAAAATTCCAGGAAAGAAACTTATATCCCACAACTAGGCACATCCGTATATTGGAAGATGCGCCTCGCCGAGCTGAGTTGAATGGTACTCTTATATATAGAATTCATAAATTTTGAATCAAGATAAGGTCTTTTTTTATAAAAAGTTAGGCGTTGCGCGACAAAGTTAGGTGACTTTTGCCGCTTTTCCGCCGACTTTTGTCGCGCGACGCGGCAAAAGTCACCTAACTTCGGCGGCGCCGCGTAAGTTAAGTGCCGCCGCCATTTTTTTTTCGCAAATTACGGGTGGTATTGTATGTACTTAAATTCCACAAATGCTATAGGCCGTCCGCGCTGTGCTCGGAGCAACGCGGTTGCGTTCACTGAAGGTGGTTCATGACTGAAAGAGACGCTGAGAAAACAGGCGGCGAAAGTGCACGAAGGAAGAGGAATGACACGCAGTGCACACCTTGCGCACTCTCCGCGCCCAGCGCGGATGGCCTATACGATACATTGCCTGTTCATAGGAGACTTTCGTCTTGTGTGGTATAAGCTAGTCGTGGACGAAGGCATGTGGTTTCCTCCGCGAAGCGAGCACGAATGCCCCTATAACCCCGAGCATACTGCAGGCATTTCAGTGGCGACGTGATATGGCAATACTCAAATTGTCCAAAACCTATTCTGAAAGTACAGAATGTAGGGCATTTATCTTTTTAGTATGTTGTATACGCTAAACATTTGTGGTAAGCTGGCATTACATCGAAGACATCTCGTAACTGGCAAATCGCGTACGGCGATCTAAACCGTCTAATCCTGCACTACAACTGCGATGTCCTTTACTCAATATACACCAATTCGCAAAAAATCCAAGGCAACGAATAGGCAGTTTTGCAATAACTTATGCGAGCAAGAGTGCTCACTAGTGTGCGCTTTGCGTACCGCAAGCATGAGCAATGCAAAAAAAGAAGAACAGCCATTTCAATTCAGTATAAACTCAGAACATGAGCTTGAATTTGATATCTTCTTTGCTAATTTGGTGCCAATAGCAGCGCGAACAATCTCATTGATCGAAAAAAACATCAATTAAAATCCACATATGATTTTTTTACTATCGCAAGCAGGCGGAAGAATGCGACTTTCCATACGTTCAAAGATATACCGGTTGCAGTAGATGCATTACCGAGTTTTGCAAAAAAACGCGCACGAGTGAGCTTGATACTCAGCAATTGGCTCTGCAACAAAGTCGAATAATCTGAATACGGAGTACATTCGAATACGAATTCGAATAAACATTCGAATAAAACATTCGAATAAAATCTATTCGAAACCCCGTTTTTTGACTATTCGAGTTTTCGAATAATATTCGAAACCTCGTTTTTTGATTATTCGAGTTTTCGAATTTTATTCGAAACCCTGTTTTTTTGATTATTCGAGTTTCGAATTTTATTCGAAACCCCGTTTTCTCAATTATTCGAGTTTCGAATATTATTCGAAAATGGAAGAACTCCGAATATCGAATTTCGAATACGAATATATTCGAATGTTTTATTCGAATGATCGAATTTCTATTCGATTCGAACCCAAGTATACTGAAGGGCATAAAACGCTGACTCCAAATCTGACTTTATCTGCAGAGCGTTTATGTACGAGAAGTTATAAGCATTTTTTGAAGCCAAAAACTAAACGTGCATGTTAGATAAAATGAGCTGCTAAAATCTTATTAGTCTAACCCTCAAATAATGCAACCAAGTATGATATATCTTTTATTTTAAAGCATTTTTTGAATAAAGTGCTCTGATGATTATCAGTGCTTCATTAAGGAGCTAGAAAAAGTATTATTACGGCTACTTTCGCCCTACTTGCACATTCAATTTTTTCCCCTATAAGCGCTCATAACTCTTCGTCCATAAACGCTCTGCAGATAGGGAAGACAGATTCGAAATAAGCAGTCTATGCACTTTGATACGGTATACGTCCCATCTAAAAAGGTCACTTCGACTAAACATGCATTCCTTGTTAGTAAATATAGTTAATCCTTAATATTGTCTATCACCTCATTGTGGCATGGGGCGTGACGCTGAGTACTGTGATGTCAACCGAGTGCTGATTCCGACAGGTTTTTCCAATGTGAAGCAGTCTGACATTTGAGGCCTTCAACTTCGCCGGATATTTAGCTAGTAGCAGACCTGCCAAATACTCTACAGTCTCACTGTAGGTAAGAATCGTTGGCAGTCTGACAAGGTCGGCGATGATGTGGAAGGCAGAGCACAGTCTGGCGAACCTGCTTACGTCATGGAAAATTGCGTTACTCGAAATTGAACAGAATTGCGTATCGGACTCCATCTACTCGCCGGGTGCTAACAAATACGATGTCAGGTTGCTCAGGGACGTGGATCACAAGAGCGACAGTTTGAAATTTGAGACGACTCACCACGGGGACTGCAGTGCACATCAAGTACCACGTCATCACTCTGCAGGAAACGAAGTTAAAGATCAAGAACCTGCGACAGTTGAGTAATGGGACCCTCATCATTCATAGTGAGGAAGTTCCATCACGAAACGTGGGAGGCATTGGTTTTGTGGTCCACCCATTCTATAGTCCATCTTGCCGATTCGCATGAGATCTTGTCAGCCATCCTACGACTACTACGTCCACGTCAGAAGACCATCAACATTATCATTTGCTGCTCGCCAACATCTGCACCTGACAAATCGAAACTGGATGCTTCTACAACGACGTGGAGAAAGTCGTCCATAACGAGAAGTCCTTCTACAACTGTTGTGGACGAGTTCAACGCGATCGGGATGCCACTAGAAGAGGAATTTAGGATCGAGAAGTTTGGATATGGGCTTCATAATAAACGGCAACAGTTTAACTTCTCTCCGGCGCACAACTTTTTCGTAGATACTTCATTATCATTAAGAGAGAATGTTGTTGGACACTGCATTAGCTCGAAGGAGCGACTCAAGCGATTTTGCGGGCCCCAAATCAGCCACGCCCCCGAAAAAATTTTTTTTATAGGGCTAATTTGAATTTTTAAAAAATTTTTAAAATTATTTTAATTGTTTACAAAAATAAACAAGTCATTTGCACATTTTTATAACGCATGTAAGTAATTTTCAAAAATTTCGCGACCCGTTCTCGGGGGGGGGCGCACGCCCCCCCCCCCCCCGCCCCCCCCCCCCTCGGTACGCCACTGGAAGGCACCTATTCAAATTTGTGATAGTCTAATTTTAGGTGATATTTAATCTCGATGCCCCTTTTTAAAGAGTCTCTTCAAGAATGGAAAATATTTTGTGCGAATGCTTGTATTCAGCAAAAGATTACTTTCACGCTGTTGCTATTTGAATTACTTCATTTTAGCATTTATCTGCTATCCCGTTCACATCTGCAGCTTACTATGCGTATACACCATGCGCCCTACATGAGCTGCAAAATACAACCTGCTTCAGAGATTGTATTTTGTGCCCTTCTTTTTTGGTTTTATTGGACACTAGTAGCAAACCCGTCTCCGCTAGGCCATGTCTAGTTACATTCGTAATTAGCATGCTCACTTACCTCCCGTAACGAGTCCCAGCCCCGCAGCAAACTTTGCAAAAATCGGTCAAATCCATATCTCGATAACAAATATAGTTGCTTACGACACTCGCCCCTCCCCGGTGTATGTGTGCAAGGTTTGGTCTGATTTTTTCCAGGACTGAAATTTTTTTATTCGGAGCGTACGTACAGACACACACACAAACAGACATAGTAGTACATAAAAGCAAACATTCAGCTTTGCTTGTACAGATGCGATGATTTGTACGAGAATTTTCACAGATTGTTACGCCGGAAAAGGTTCTACTGAGAAGTTGCTAGTAAACGTGCCCTCGATTGCTGCACAGTGTCTGCACACTCACATACTGACTTACAGATGACTTGAGTATTTATTTGGGTACTTATTTGTAGTGAACGTGGAACACTCATCTTGGACAAGACTACTGGCAGCATTCGTACAATCAGGTGCACGTACGTGAACTGGCTTGAGAATTCGACATAAATCTCTATGAATAAATGGTATGGTGTGAGTTTGGATTGGCTGACTAACAAAGAAAAGATGGTTGGTGACCGTGACTTTTGCAAAGAGAAGTGTACTAGTAGACGCGCTTTGAAACGCTGATTTCAAATCTATGTTCATTATCCGCTGCGCCACTCTCTGGACGAAGCTAGAGACTCTCATATTAATTACAAGACTTAGGCGGTCAGAATCGCCAGTATCGAGGTTTTTTGAGCTATGTATCATAGCTATGTACCTCGATACTGGCGATTCTGACCGCCTAAGGCCCCGGGCAGACTTCACGCGATTTGATCGCCGCGACTGATCGCGACAAGACAACTGTCACAACATCATTCCATGCCGATCAACTTGCATTTCGGTTGTGATACTTTTCCAGCCCGAAATTTTTGAATGTAAAATGAAAATGAATGGAAATCTCGGCGATCAGATCGCGACGACCAAATCGCGTGAAGTCTGCCCGGGGCCTAAGACAGTTTTACTGAGCTTAACGTAAGGATTTGTCGTATTTGGACGCTCTTTCGTAGTGCGTAAGTGACCATTCCGACTAAATTGGTGATTTCTGTCACCAAAACAGTGCAAATTTTATTGGCAAGAAATGTTCTTAATTTCTTTGGACCAGCGCACAGCAGATACAAAGTAAAGCAGATTTCGAATCAACGCCCGAAGTTGCAATGTGTTCGTTCCATTCCAAAAGGCCACGGTCACCAACTATCTTTCCCTTTTAAGTAATATGAATTTGATTTTCAGATGTCGAATCTGCTATGCTTCTCTATTCTTATATTAGCAACTTTATTTGTGCCTGTCTTACCATCATTCGCAAATCTAGCAAAGATGATACTTGATGTTCTAAAAGTCAATCCTTTCGTGAGTGCTAAATCAACATTAAAAATTGCAAAACATTCTACCAATGAACGATCTTAAGCAGCATACAAGCTGTTTTGCTCCTGATTGTTGTCGGCCACTGGGGCCAGTGGCGGACCTGGGAGTAGGGCGGGGGGAGACATGTGAAGGCTTACTCGAGAATAGAGTGAAATTCTCGGAAACCGCCTACATTGATTCTGAAATTGTGCGAGTTCTCCTGGGCTCACAAGGCCACCGAAGTAAAAAGCATCCCTGTCTTCTAAGAGCAAAGCTTACTCCCCTTTATTCGCAATAAGCTTAAAGATGGAGCATCTGTACAATGACCTAAATTGTGACAGCAAATCGACAGAAATATCCATCGATACTTCTGAAACACTGGATAACATATGAAGATGAGCTAAAAAGCATCGTTTTTTTGATAACTTCTCCAGAAGTCGTTCCATTACAAAATATAACAAAATATCCAATTTTTGAGAATCACTACTACATAATTCTAACTATATTGATTACTACGATACAGATATTTAGGTTTTTTGTAGTTTTTCTCAAGAGCTGTTTTTGCTTTTGCAGTTTAAGTTATAGATGCAGTCAGGTTAGGGCATTCGCAAAGATTTTCGAGCAAGAGAGTTGTCAATACCCAAATGATGTGCTCTTTGAGAGCATACATTAGGTGATTGCGAAAGTTTCGTTCGCTCTTTTTCACACGGGAACCACATTTGAAGGAACAAAGATTTCTGAACAGAGAATGATCCCAACTTAAGGTAGCAAACTGAAATGAAGCGCAACTGCGCAATGGCGAATCTACCTTCTCTATCTGCGATTTCTCTGGAAAACATTATGAGCGTCCTAATGCCAAATTTGGCAAGCATTCAACGCCAAATCTTCAAGAATTAGTTGTTCAAGAGCACTTGTATTTGTTTTCGGTAAATGTAAGAATTCGAAGCAGTATGCTCAGTATCAATATGCTAGTCAGCACTCCCGAGTTGGATTTAGAGCACGTTATGCATGAAGAACCCAATGACTTCACACCTTTAACTGTTAAAACTGTGAAGTCATGGTGGTTTCAATGCACGATGTGGTTTTAGAGTCCATCTTGGGAATGCATAGCTAGCATGATATTTAGTGTATGATTTTAAGGATTACTCACATTTGCTGCACACACAAACAAGCGCTTTTGAACAGCTAATTCTTGGAGATTTGCAGTTTTCTGAATGTTTGCCAAATTTGAACATTTGAACGCTCAGAACTTAGGGAAATAGGGAAAGTAAATTTGAAATCAGCCCATCAAGCGCATCTCAAATGCGGTTCGTTTTAGTTCGCCCTCGAGTTCAGATCGTTCCCTTGTAAAAGATCTTGGGAGCATTCAATGCAACATTCCATCCTCTTTCTAACGATTATAAAAAATTTGCAGCATAGTCAACGAATTTCGGAATAGCAAAATTTGCGACTCATGCTTTTTGAGATAGTCAAGTTTCACAACTTTTCAAATTTTATGTAAACCCTACCAAGAGATGTCCGAATAACGTACTCATAAGCAAAACCTATAGATGCAGAACAATTCTCTTCTACCTTCCACAGCTGGTCATACTTTTCTAATATGTAGAATTTTAACTGATGCTACAATTTCCATACTTAGTCAACGTCAAAGAGAGAGCAGTTCGGGCGTTGTTTGATGCAGACTTTTCTCTTTTTTCTGATAGAGGTCTCTTATTCCTTATTCGTTCAGTCTGCGGAGACAAAATCATCATAACTTATGCTTAACGCGCGCCAAGGATGCACCCGAAAAAGAATTTTATATTTCGAATCCTGAATTCTCGTTTGCTTTGTAGATTACATGTAAATCATAAATCATCTTGGCAATTTCAGATCTGAGTGATTGCTGTTTTATGCCATTGTGGCTGAGCTGACGTAGGCCTGCCAAAATCCAATAGTTTTAATTGAAATTTTTCGAAAAATTATGGCGAGCCATGAAAAGAAGGAAAAAGTTGTGTTGTATCCTACAAGACTTGCTCTATCAAATCATTGCTGGGATTTCTTCCGGGGATTGGTAAACGAGTCCAGAAAAATTGTAGAACGTGACCATGTCAATAGACATAAGTCGTAAATCTTGTTGATTTTCCGAAAGTACAATGTGTAGCAAACATTTTGTAAGCTTTAGAAAAACGATAAAATGCTGTATCAAATGCTACAAGAATCTCTCATAAATCTTCATTCCATCCAATGTGGCGCCCGTTTGATAACAAAGAAACAAACTTTCAATATTATAACATAAGGTTTCCTCCCTTACATTAGCTCAGAAAGAAAAAAGGCTGTAGCGATTGGTTTTATTATAGAGTTCATATTTTATAGAGTAAATCCTATGCCTTGCAACCATAGAGCCTCGCAGTAGTCTACCTGAGCTTTTTAAGCTTTTATACGCGAACAATGCAGATTCGTAAACTCTTTGACGTATTTCATTTCAAAAAGAGGCTGGAAAAGCTGGGTGTATGTCAAGAGGCGCGATTTTTATTGCCAGCTAGACAACAAATAGCACATTATAAGTGTATCGCAACTTTCTAAAAGTATATGAATTCTAGAAGAAGATATATTCGATAGTTGCATGAGTTGTTTAATCTTGACACTCTCGAAAAAATTCAAAAGAGCAAGTTTGAAGGTCAGAAACTCATGAAAACGCATTTCAGAACAAATTCATAAATATTTCAATCAGATTTATAAAAAAAACCATGAAACTCAGCAACTGGTGACCTTAGACAGATAGTAAGCTAATGTACTTTATCTGGTAATTTTTGAAGACTTGCATACCACTAAATTGGAGATTTAATTTGGTGACAGCCAGAGAAATCGCGCCTCTTGACCGTCTCCCGGAAAAGCTAACTACATTCTCAAAACATTACAGTTATTCGGTCGCAGCAAAATAAGTGAAGAGTACATAACTTAGTGAGAACTTTTTATTTTTTGGGAAAACAATAAATGGGATCTGTCTGTTCACACGACGACATAATAATCAAAGTCTCTAAAACTACTTTTTCAACACTTACTGCTTTGGTTTTCAAAGTTCGTATATGAAATAATGACAACAAATTGTGTCAACCCTACTCAATCTTCAATAACGTCTACTTTGCTGTTATGAGTTTAAACATCTGAAATGGTTTTGTCTCAGATTTCAAGTGTAGCTATGATGTAACAAATTCAGAAGTACTATGGCTATGGATGTTACTGCGGTCCGTTCACTGGACACATAACTGATCCCCCAGTCGATGCGGTTGACGAGTGATTAAAAGACATGTGATAACTTCGAAGAAACAAAAACGAAAGTCTGCTTTTAGGTGCTGTTTACTTCATGATCACTGCTACAGCGATACAAAAAAGGATTGCGGATGGAAAATCTGGCGATATGCCACGGACTACAGCTGGACTTTTGATCAGAAAACCAAAAAAATCGAATGTACATCATGTACGTATAGAATTCTCTTGGCTTGATGAATATGGTAGAGGTAAATTTCCAGTTTCTTTGAGGTTGCCCCAAAAGTATATTACTTTTGAAATAAATGAAGTTATTTCGGTTCTCCTAGTGGGCTTGCGGTATCTTTTGATAGAGTAAAGCAATCTCTACAAAATGATCACCAAAGATCCGCTTAATCCATATCCAGGTAAAGTTGGGAGCCAAAATCGCAGAAAAATTAACCATGGAAATTGAATTTTTGCGAAAAAAAATTCTACGGACTCAAATTAGGTCATTTTACAGTAGACATATAGTGATACTTAATATGCCTTTACTGGATTTTTCTTCTAAGTATAAGAAGGGAGAAAAAAGACAAATCGAAATGGCAAATTCTGTCCCCAGCCCTTTCCTACATAGTCGTTGTATTTTATACAAAGCGCACCTTTTTCGATTTTTCAAACAAGCCGCTCAACCGCTTCATTGTGTTTCGGAAAGCGAACCTCAAACCGTTCAAATCTCTCAGGCCATACGGAGCCCGGTATAGAGTTCTTTAGTCGCGAAGTGTTGTGAGGTGTATGAGCTGGCGGATTTTAGAAAAAAATCCCCCGCTCCTTGTACGCGTGAAGTTAGGGTAAGTATAATCTTAAAACTTACATTTGTTAGTAACTTAATAACTTAGCAAGTATAACCTTGAAATTTTACCTTTATTACCAAGCTAAATGAAAACATTAACAAAACGATATTTTTGCGTTTTCAGACTATTCTAATTCCTCAGTTTTGAACCCAGAAACCACCAAACACGTTTGTGTCTATTATATTAGGTTGTCCCGAATGTTTTGTCGGTTTTTTTCATCGCTCACCAAATCTCACAGAACACCAATCCATGAGCGGCCTAGGTGTCATTCTATTCATTTTTTGTCCTCTTTCTTATAGCTATATTTGTTCCCTGATCTATTCAGTCTTTGCGATGTTATCGCAATGGCTTTTTGAGCACCTCAGCAGTAGCGCCAGAACTTTCCTGAATTTTCAAAATTTTTATCTTGATATTTTCGACGAGCGCTAGTGACTGTTATGTAGGGCAAACCTTTGTCTACATCGTACCCATTTTAGATTACGTGGGCCACGTTTATCAAGTCCGTAATAATGATTTATTTGAGAAAAACCGCGGCTTTTTGAACACGTTTTACCACTTAAAATTACCGAAAATTCAAAAAAGCTGATTTTTGAAGCAAATCAAACTTGGTTATGTTGCATAAATGATGTTAAATAACAAACAAGTTTGAATTCGCAAAAACTTCAAAAGCTTTCATGCTTTTGCTGCAATTGCGCGTTTCGTGACTTTGCTAAAAACCAAGGCCTCCGAAGAAATAATTTTTTGTAGTTAAAATCAGCATATTAGGAGTATCTAAAAAAACAACTTTGTAGCCCGAGAGTTGCCCTATTTGACCCATACTTAGTCTTTTTCGAAACTTTGTAATGGAATTTCTAAAAATCAGCTCAACTTTGTGCAGGTAAAATTGACAGGTGGAGAATTATGGCAATTATCAAAAAAAGCATACAAGACTGTGGTATGAAAACGTAACCATAAGAAAGAGAAGGAAAAGCTGCATCGAATGCATGTTGAAACTGACTCAAATCTTTATTGTGCGTGGTTTTACAGTGGTTTGAAAAAACCGACAAAACTTTCGGGACAACCTAATACAATGACCAAGGGAGGCCCACAATAATTTTTTGAAAGGGGATCCGATTTGTAAGGCACCTGAAGTGTTATTTTTGCCAAACTTTACCTAGATTACGAATTGTATCAGCTCGGCCCGAATTTCGAAATTAAAGTGGGCTGAAAATGCAAAATTGTCGTTTTTTGCGGCTTTTTGCGGTAATTACGGTAATTCTCATCACCAAGACACAAACAAAAGCAAAATTTCAAGGTTATAACTTACTAATGCTAATGATTAGATAATACAATGACTACGTGGGAGGAGCCGAAGGCGAAATTTGCCATTTTCAAAATATCTTCTTTTTCTCGCTTTCTAGGCGCGAAAAAAATCTAGTTGACATATTTGAGTGCTGCTATGTTTCCATTGCATAATGACGAAAAATTCAGTTCTGTAGGATTTTTTCTCTCGCAAAAATCTATGTCCAAATGACAAATCTTCGTTACGAATTTGGCTTCGACTTTACCTGGATTACGAATTAGGCTCATATTCGATGGTCATTTTGTAGAGCTTGTTTCATTTTATCAATTGATAGACTAAGTCCCTAGGAAAAAACAGCCTGATTTATCCATAAGGGAGTTGGTTTTGGGACAATTCAATATCTCCTTGAAACTATGTGTCGTTCCAATGGCAGACATAGTTTGATCAATCCAAGTAAAACCAAGATTTCCATCAAGAAAATTGTCGGTACTGTGGGCTAAACGTGGTTAGTGTGTTGAAAACGTTGGCAAAATCAAATAATCTCGCATATGGTGCCCTTACTTACCTGCAAAGATCACTTTTTTCGTAAAAATTGGGAAGTGTTGTTCTTTTCCAAGTCTCCTTTCCAGGGAAATGGAGAACATGCGCTCGAGCACTGTGTGCATGCGATGTGAGACTTGTGAAATGCCTCGCCTACAAAAGATTAATAAGAGGAAAGAAGAAATGCACTATTAACGAGTACGCTAAAAGATGGATGAAAGTTAAGGATCTTCCACTTGAAGCTTGGTATAACCAATCTTTGTATTATTACTACATGACTAGTGGTAAATACCGGCGTCCATAATTTTGCCTCTGTCTCCTCTTATACTTTTTCTTCTTCCTCCTTTATTTCTATTTCTTTCTTTACATCACTACTTGTCACTAGATTCCACGTGGTTGCCATTAGGTGTGTAATTGGCTACAAGATAAACATTGTCGGCAAATTCGACTGTATTCACGTGCTTTACAATGCTTCGCTGTAGGTGCAATTTCAAGGTGCAGGTGCATGAAGGTATTTGCGTCAAGTTTTCGACGCTTCTCAAAATTACTGACTTATGACCAGTATAAGCAATTAATTATATAAGCGCAAATAGTATATCCTGTTACGCATACATCTGTAATTGACGATTCAAAAATTTGCTTTGCTTCAAAAGAGCTTTGGGCATTTTCAGATGCTTTATCAAAAGTGATTTGAGTGGAATAGCAAATCAAAAATATTTGAAATGTTCAAAAAAATTCAAACTTACAAGCTCTCAATGTTGCGACAAAATTTTTTGATGGCGAATTCGATAAGAGGAGAGATTTCTAAAAGCAATATTTATGGGTCACTAGCTGGCACCCGGCTCCGCCAGGCCCTGTCAGTAATATAGTCGTGATTAGCTGCTTACATTCCCTCCCCCTCAAGCTGCGCCAACTCCCCTTCTCGTGGCTCAAACTTTGCAAAATTTAATAAAATCGACATCGACTGATGACGAAAAGTAGCCTAGATACTTGTCTCGCTCCAAAGTGTATATATGCCAGATCGACTCAGGGCCGCATGCACTAACATCGCCGCGGGGAGGGGATCGCAGCTTAAAAGAGAGCTTTATATTTCGAAACTCCAGATACCTGGATTTCACGTTGTGTACCTATCCGTAAGTATTCCTACTACCCTTCACTATGAACATGTTGAAGAGGAGCGGGAAGCTGTACAAACCACATTTTCCAGCTTTTGCATGATCCCTGATGATCTCCGGCGCTTTTCTTCAAAGTCATTTTTCTTTCTCCGAAGTTAATGGGAAACCTCTAAAGTTGTGCGTATTATCTAAACCGACAGTGCTAAACATGTTGCTGATAAGAACAAATGATGTTTTGAAGTCATGAAATTTCGATGATCCACAAGTCGAAATTTGAGGTTAACCGAAAAATTCGACTTCTCAAAAACTCATTTGTTCTCATCAGCAACATGCATAGCACTGTTGTGTTAGATGTTCAGTACAACTTTGGAAGGGTTTCGTTGACTTCGGAGAAAGAATAATAACTTTAAAGAAAAGCGCCGGGGATCATCAGGGATCATACAAAAGCTGTAAGATGCGGTTCGTACAGCTTCTCGCTCCTCTTCAACATGTTCATAGTGAAGGGTAGTAGGAATACTTACGGATAGGTATACTATGTGAAATCCAGATATCTGGAGCTTCAGAATATGAAGCTTTCTTTTAACCTGCAATCCCCTCCTTAGCGGGGAGGTTAGTGCGTGCGGCCCTCAGAAACAAAATTTGCTATTCAGAACATACATACAAACAGGCAGACATTTAGCTCTATGTACAAGATGGATTGTTGCATTATTTATTTTTATGTCTCATGGATCCACTGAAAACTTTTGAAAAGATTATGGCCGCTACTAACAAAATCGGTAATTCATCTGGATGAGACAAAATTTTACTTCGAATAAAGGTTTTCTTCAGTAAACATTAATACAATTCATTATGGTTATAAAAAGTATTATTACGAGAAAAATATTTGATACAAAATTTTATCCTCACGGCCAAACCAAACCGCCACGGTTAGGGGCCATAATCCAGTTTATGAGAATTACCAACAACGTTGGGTAATAATCATTGCCTTCGATAAAGATGAATTTTGTGAGTTTCACGAATGAATAGGATCCTAATAAGCTCTAACAGCCGAGCTTGATGGCTTAATAGCTTGATTTGGAGTTTCTTTTGGGCTATAGCTGGACTTACAATAAGTCGAGGCTTATATCGTGCCTTCTAAAACCTAATTGCCCGCGCCGTGCCTTGAGCACACCATCACAGACGAGCGGTTGTCGCGAGGCTATAGGCGATCTTATTTGTTCTTGAATTTTCGATCAGCATCCATGTTTTTTTCGGCAAGCACAGTGTGTTTCACCCAAAAGTGTCTTAAGAAGTTTACGAAGAAAGTCCAAAGGAGATGCGGCTCATTACCATTTTCGAATAGCCTATATCGCGTCGGGATCCCATCTCTCCAGCCGATCTACGTGTTGTGTAAGCGTGGAGAGGGCAACTGCATTTCCAAGGCCTATATGCCAGAATTTCGGTTAATGCGCAGTACGGCACATTTCGATTATCTATCCACCCCCAGAATTACTGTTTCAACTGTACAAAATAGGATAACTATTTATACGATTTGTTGATTACGCTTATGATAATGAGTCAAAGCAGTCGGTTTTCCGTGACCCAACCCCATTTCATGGCTATCTTGACTAATAGCTCCCATTTCGAGATCAACTAGCTCATAGTGAAAATCATCATCGTTTCACTGAAGCAATCAAACTAACCAGTCGAACACATATTACTAGGGTATAATACGTACTATATATCGCCAAAAGGAGAGATTCTGCGAGGGCGTGCAACAGATACGCACCTCTTGCATATATGACAGTGTATTTATTGCAGATGTCCGCGCGAGACCTCTTCTTTCTACCGTACAATCGACTAAACCACGCTATGAAAAGTGTACACTAAAAATAATTGCAAAAAGTTGCCTTCTTGTAGTAAGTAACTGTATATGGCAAACTTGCCCAATTTGCATTGCCTCATCTTTTAATGATATTTCTTTTGCAATTATTCAGAGTTCTACCAAAACTTTCTGATATTATTTTAGCTAGAAACTGGAAATGCTCGCGAGCTATGAGCAAACGACGAAATGCTTCGCACAACTTCCCGATTGACGGGAGAAACGAAGAAATAACGCTTTAACGATTTATTCGTTTTATCCTTCCAATCTTTATTGTGGGGCCTGCTAACGAAAAAACAAATAAAAAGAGGAAATAACGCTTTGATGCTTCATGCTTTTTATTCGTCTTGATCTTTATTGTAGGGAGGTTAACGCCCTACAATAAAGATTGGGACGATAATAAGAATCGCCTTCTACGCTTGGCATAACCAATCTTTTACGAATGTGTGTCTTTTTCTTACGTGAACTTTAAAGGCAGCGTACACCCAAAATCTAAGTTACCGAATTTCCTAGATCTTTCTATACCATGTATATACTGGGCCCAGAAGAAGACCAACTGCGTTGGTCCGGTCTCCCAATGTTGCTTCTGAGCGGAGAAAAACCCCCTCAATTTTCTTTCACTACGCCCCTTTCCTTTCGCTCCGCCTCCTCCGGACGAATCCACGACAGCGTAAGCTTCAGTTGCCGTTGCAGTTGCTGTTGCAATGCTGTTGCATCTGCAACTGCAGTTGCAACAGTGCAGTTGCTTTTTGCGGTGCGTCTCATTCGGGCGACGAACCACGACAGCATATGCAGCAGTTGCAGTTGCAACTGCAGGCTGTCATGCTGTTGCAGCTGCTGGCATGCCGACAAGGACGAGCAATTCGAAACTCGTCCGTCCCTGAAGAGAAGGTCCCCAGAAATCGAGGTTTTTTGGGACTTTTGGAGGATTTCAATGACATAACTGTAATCAGCGGCACGGAAAGGCCCCAGAATGACAAAAACATCGAAGGTGAAATTTTGGGTGTACGCTGCCTTTAAGTCCTTTGCCATCTAGAATCAATCATCTAATCTAAATTTTCCGTAAGTCAAGACACGTTGATTTATAGGGAAAATTCGGAATGACTTCTTTATAATTGTTGCTGTACGCTAATCCTTCAGAATGCAAAATGTTTGAAAAAAAACTTGCAAACTCACTGTTTGTGTAGAATTGAAACCATATAGTTTTAATATCAAGGAATTAGTACTTGTTTCGAGTGAATGTAATGTATTAGGTCGTTCCGAAAGTAATGTCGCTTTTTTCAAACGTATGCCACATCTCGTGGAACAAAGATGTGTAAGAGATTCTAGTAGCATTTGATGCAGCATTTCATTCTCTTTCTAATGGTTATGAAGCTGTTGCAATACAGTCAATGAGCTTCCAGAAAAGAGTCAAATTCTGCGACTTATGCTTTTTGAGATGGCCAAGTTTCACAATTTTTCTAAAATTTTACAACAAACCTCAGAAGGAGTACAAGTAATGGATGGATAGAGCAAACCCTAAAGGAAACAGCACAACTTTTTTATACTTTCCAGAACTCGTCATAATTTTGGTTTAGATTTTTTGATGGAACCACCGAATTTTAGCAGGCTCGTCTCAGACACAAGTGCATCAAACGCCAACAAGTCTCCGGATTTTGAAACTTAAAAAGGATTATGGTTTGGCAACAATTTTACAAACCAAACGAGCATTAACCGCTTCGGTTTAGCCACTTTCAAAAATTTCGGTTACACCTTGAGGTGCCTTGGAAAAGTTGAATTATGATGATTTTATCCCGGAAAACTTGATGAATCGGAAACAAAAAACGACCTTCAGAAAGAGGAGAAAAAGCTGCATCGAATGGCACCCGAGTCGCTTGCCGGTTGTTGTTCTGTGAGGTTTGACTTGACTAAATGTGGAATTTGATGGCATTGAGAAACTGATTGTAGAAACTCTGAGAAGCAGGCTAAGGAAAAGAAGAAAATTACTTTGTGTCCTATATGGTTTGCTCTCTTTACCTGTCACTTGTACTTTTTCGGAGATTAGGTACAAAAATTTAGAAAAATAGCCGAACTTGACCATGGCAAAAAAGCATGAGTCGCAAATTTTGGTAATATTTCGAGAGCTCATTAAACATTATGCAGTGAAATTAGGACCATTAGAAAGAGGATGAAATGCTGCATCAAATGCTTAGTTTCGTCCATTCGAAAAAAGCGACATTATTTTCGGAACGACCTAATATATTAATTGCATAGGTGCGATAGTGTGAGGATTTTCTCACCCCCTCTTCTCCCCTGAGCCGGGACCAAGGTGACCCCCTTCACCAAAAGCCGAGAAAAAAAATCAACAGTGAGGTAAGGTTAAGCAAAGGAGATTTTTGTACGTGCTAAAAAAAAGTGCTTGGTGACGGGTTTGAGTAGTGATTTCGAACATTTTAAAGTTTTTAACATAGAAAAATTCATAACATTTGTAGATGAACATCTTGTACGCCGTGTATGGTCACCATTGAAACCGCCTCGTCCTCCGCTTTCAGAAAATATATACTTTGCCTGGAGTCCGTTGAAAAAGTGCCTGGGTGAAGGGTGTCCTAGTAATTTCTGGAGATTTTCGACTTTTTAACATAAAAAATTCATAACTTTTGTAGATGAACATCTTGTACGCCATGATGGTCACCGTTGGAACCGTCTCGTCCTTCGCTTTCAGAAAATATATACCTTGCCTGGGTTCCATTAGAAAAAGTGCCGGATGAAGGATGTGTGAGACTTTTATAATGGAAGTGCTTGATTACAAGCTTTTTGACCACTGTAAAAAGACGTCTACTTGAGCACTCCCATTATAAAAGTCTCACCCACCCTTCACCCGGCACTTTTTTTAATGGACACCAAACAATACATATATTTTCTGGAAGCGGAGGACGAGATGGTTCCAATGGTGACCATCTAGATGTACAAGGTGTTCATCTTCAGAAGTTACGGATTTTTCTGTCCTAAAAACTCGTAGATATCTAGGAATCACTACCCACACTCTTCACCAAGCACTTTTTCAACAGAGTCCAGGCAATGTATTCTCTAAAAGCTGAAGACAAGATGGTTTTAAAAACATTTTCCTTGCTGAAGTTGCCGTTCATCTACAGAAATTACGAATTTCTTCTTTTGAAAAATTCGTAAATGTTTAAAAATTGTCTAACTCTTTCCGAAACAAATGTTCTCGCATGCACATCTTCTATGGTAATTCCAAAAACAGGCAGGGTGGTGTAAAAAAAAGGAAAAAAATGTTAAAAAAATACAAGGTGCTGGTCAGAAATATAATTGTATGCTAATCCAGCAGCACATCGGTTCATATTTCAGAAAAAAGATAACTAGTGATGGTAAGGAATAAATTATGAACTTTGACTAGGAAAAATGATGAGGAAACACTATGGCTCCCTCCCCCGTCGACATTTTACAATTTCTCTACCGAGTGAAACCATCCCTGGAGGAGTCATTCTCACCTTATCGTACCTGTGATTATGTATGATAATCCAACAACTCACTTGTTACGCTTTAATAGAACAGAATTCATAATTGAAAAACTTCAAAATGATTCAATAAACATTGCACAATAATTATTGGACAGCTTTTCGAAATCTTGTGCGTTTGAGCTTGCAGCGCTGATTCCAAGTTTGCCTCCGCTATATGCTGCGAACTTCTCGACGAGGAGTTGTGAAGGTTTTTGTGAGTAAAACGTCAAAACCAAGATTAGTGTAAAATCAGTCGTAACATATTTTCCAGGGCTTAACTGATTAGCCGGGTCACTCGGTGCAACGAATATTCTTGATTTGAATATACCAACTCGCTGCTGCCTCATTTGAAGGTTAAGAAAATTACGACTGATTCTACACTTTGCATCTGAATTTTCACTCACAAAAGCCTTCATAATTCCTCGCCCAGAAGCCCGCAACAGATATCAAAGGTAGATTTGAAATCAGCGTTCCAAATTCTTCAAAAAGTGTACATCTCATTTCAAAATCCGCTTCGACCAACCTTCCTTCCCTTATGGGAAGCTGCAGTAATGGTGGCGTCGATTGCTGGGCCTAGCGTACACTCACACATTAACTTACAAATGGCTCGAGTATACTTATTTGAAGTGAACATAGAAGACCCCCTAGGCCAACTCAAACAGGAGTCAACTACTCTGGATCCAGCATTCGTATGGTGTACGTTAAGTGAACAGGATAAAAGCAAACCGCCATAAATTTCTGAAAGTAATTGGTATGGTGCGAGTTTGGCTTGGCTGACTATGGGACATGAATTTGATATTTAGATAATGAATCTGCTATGCCTCCTCTTTCTGTTTGCAACTTTATTCGCGTCTGTCTCACCAGCACTGTGGGATCTAGTAAATATGATGCGCAAGGTTCTAAGAGTTAATCCTTTTGTAAGTGCTAAACCTACATTACTAATATCAAACATTCTACTAACGAATAATCTTGAGCAGCGTACAAGCTGTTGCTCCTGGTTGTTGAGAGTTATCAATATAGCTGGAAGCAAGCGGCGGGCCGGGAGTGCTCAGGAATAGAGCAATATTTTCGAAAGCTGCCTACATACCGCTTGGCTCCGGAAAGGCGGGGCTTCGTGACCTAATTAAGGCTAGGTAACGATCAGAGAGCACTCGCGCGAGAGAGACGCAGGTGCATCGCGGGCGCGAGCGGCCTCAATTAAGAAACAAAGCTCCGCCTTCCCGGAGCCAAGCCACATGAATCAAAGTTTGAGTCACAGAATTACTAGTGAAGCAGTAATCTCAAAGGTGCTAGATAGCAGACGCGCGCTGGGGACTGCCCTCGGTTTCCCGCTATTGGAAGATTTTTGAATCGAGTTAACGATTCTTTATATATTAGATCGTCCAACTTCTTCTGGGCGAGACCACCGGAAATGTGGAAAGCATTCCAATTTTTTTTCTGAAAGCATGGCTAACACCCATCTTTATTCGCAATAAAATTCTGTTGCGCCCCTTCAAGTTTCACAAACGAATTTCGAGCCTATCTTGTTAAAACCGGAAACAATGCAGTTTGTGTGCATCTTTCAATCAATTACGTATTCGATCATTGAAAGTATGGGCAGGACTACGTTAACGATAATTTGTTTTTTTGTTTCCCTTGAAAGTGGATCTGTAAAATGGCAAATTAACAGGAATATTTGTCGATACCACTGAAGACTGCAACATATAAAAATGGGCTGAAAAGCATTGTTTTTTTTTTTACATAAAGGCTACTGCATGACGAAGGCGCAGAAGCGGTATCAGTTGAGCGGGCGCGAGCGCGGCGCGCGCCTATCTTCACCATTATAAAACCAGCGTCTCATGCGCTCTGCGGCTAATAAAGCTTTGCGCCCAAAGGTATTGCGCCTTCGTCGTGAATAGCCTTTAACTTCTTTAGAGTCGTTCCATCCTACAAAATGGAACAAAATATCTAATTTTAAAAAATTACTGCTGAAGAAATCTCAGAGCTTGGTTGTGAATGAATACTGCTCGTCATAATTCTAACTATAGATTACCATCAGGTGCTGATAATTGGGATCAACGATGTTACGAGAAACAGAATTAGGTTTTTTTTTGCAGTTTTCTGAAGCATCTGGCTGTTAGAGCCGTCTTCGTTTTTTTGCAGTGTAAGTAAAAAATCAGGCTTGTCGCGGGTATCCTGTTCGCAGAGGTTTTGGAGCAAGAGAGTTATCAGCACTTAGATGGTGCGCTTTTTGAGACAGCTATGTGAAGTTTTCTTGCTTGGCACATTAGCTTAGAAAGGAAAAAGGAGTCAGCGAGTAGTCTTATTGTTAAGTTCCGTTTTATGCGTGATAAATCAGAATTTGTGGAAACCTTTGAGTTCAAAAAATGCTGAAAAAGCTAAGTACATGAGTTCAAAAATGCTGAAAGAGCTAAGTATACTCTCAAAATAATTTGCTTGGTCACGGGTAAAGAGTATATATCTCAGCAAGGAGTCTTCATTTATTGAGTAACGATAAATGCGGATATTTGTTACATTCACACGAAAACATAAGACTCAAAGTCAGAGTGTTGAATTCAACTGATCAATTTTTACCGCTTTGCAGTGCACTTCACAGCTTCTATAAGCAATAATGAAAGCAAGTTATGTCATCCCTTCCCAGTCTTCAGTAAGTACCTACCTGTTAAGAGACATACCTAGCTGAAACTTCTAAAATGCTTGGTTTGTTTTCAAGTGTGGCTCTAATGCAACAAATTTAGAACTACATCAACTACGGATGTTACTGCGGTCCGGGAACTGGACCCATAACCGTTCCCCCAGTGGATGGGATTGACACGTGACTAAAAGATCTAAGGTAACTTCGAAAAACAAAAACGCTAAGTCTTTTTTAGGTGTTGTTATCATCATGATCACTGCTACGGTGATACAAAAAAGTTATGCAAGAACTCATTCCGGGAATATTACACGAATTACAGTTGGACTTTCAATCCGAAAACTAAAGAAATCAGATGTGCATCATGTAAGTATAGAAGTCTTTTGCTTGATGCATATGATTAAGGTAAACTTCCAGTCACTATTTCCTTGAATTTACGTGTCGTAATTGTACACCATAGTCGGTCTGATCGATCTAAGCAATGCCAAAAGTTCCATTAAGAACATTGTCGATATTGTGGGCTAAAGTGGTGGTTAGTGCATTAATACGGAAAAAATCAAATGAACTTTCACATTGTGCCTCTTGCCCATTATGCAAGATCATTTTTTCACTATAAATTGAGGTGTTGTTCTCCTAGAAATGTTCTGCTCCAGGGAAAACAACATGCGCTCGAGCATTGTGCGAATGCGATGTGAAAGTAGCGAAGTGCTTTGCCTATTACACAAGATTAACAGGAAAAAAGAAGGGATGCACAACCAACGAGTACACCAAAAGATGGATTCGAACAAAGAGTCGCCCATTTGAACCTTGGCATAACCAAACTATGTATAATTACTACATGACTAATGGTAAATACCGGCTTCCGTAATTCTGTGTCTGTCTCTTTTTTATCTTTTTCTCCGTTTTTCTTTGTTTACATCACTACTTGCCACTGGATCCTACGTGTTTGCTCTTAGCTGTGGTTGGTTATCAGATAAACTTGTCGGCAAAGTCGGGTGTACTTATGTGTTTTATGATGCTACGCTGTAGGTAGAATCTCAACTTGACCTTGCTAGTTTAGGTTAGTTCATATATGTTTATGACTGTGCTGCCGTGACGTTTTTAGGTTCTTTTGAGCATGCTCGAACTGGAGTAATTTTGTTCAGAACTTTCGCGTTTTAGTTCATGGCAAAGGTAGCGTAGTAGTGCGCAATATTTTCTCTTTCAAATGAAGTATAGTTCATTTATAAAATCGTGACTACGGATTTTACTGCGGTCTTAGCGCCCACGGAAGCATGAAACGCTCATACAAGAGGACATCACCTCAACGTTCAGCTCAGTCACTTCCAGTTATCTAAACGTTATCATACTTGAGCAAAAAACAATTCGATTAGAGATGAATGCCAAGAAAATGCCATTTCCATAAGTGGCGTGCGTGTCGCGCGCGGTCGTCATCGTCACGATTTTCAAATACCCTATACTTTCAGAATTTTTCGTAAGCTAGCTTGAAAAATGCCAACCTTGAGTAATTTCGTTGATCTGCTTTATCTCTCAAACTTCCTTATGCTAACTCACCGGAGGCATACTGCTGTAAAGCTTGATCCGTGCTTTCGAGTAAAGCTTTATTCAAAGGAATCCATGGAGACGCAAAGAAGTTGTAACTTTTCGAAAATGATGCGCAAAAACTTTCGGACCATCCCAATACATATACATCACACATACACACGTACACATATACACATACACATAGACATACATACGAACACACATACGTACATAACACACACCCTTACACTCATAGACACACAATCAGAAATTCGGCTTATATATTAGGTTGGCACGAAAGTTATTGCGTAATTCAAACAAAATTCAATAACTTTTCAAAGACTAAACCTAAATTCACAATCTTGTATGCTAAAAATATTACAAGCCTTACGCTTCATGATGGAAGTTCAAGCGCAAGATCATGAGCTAGCCCCCGAGAACGAAACTCTCAAATATGGGGCTTCAAATTTTGCGATTTTGAGTTTGGTGCCAGAAAATCGCAGAGTGCCGCTAGCTAGCCGAAAAAAAATCTGTAGAATTTACTTACACAGCAAAAGTCCATACGTTGTTTTAGCAGGCTTTGATCTCGCATGGAAACGCGAAAACAAAAAATTTGTGAAAATTCTCATTTCACAGGACAAATCCCCTCATCGCACTAACTTTTCCACAGAAACACAGTTTGCAACCAGAAATTAGACATAGTGCCTATTTAGAGCCTTGCGACGTTTTCTCGATTGTAAAAAAAAGTGTTTTCGCCGGAAAACTGCGGACATGAGGAGATTTTTTCCACAAAATGACTTATTTCACGAATTTTTTGTTTTTGCTTCACCGTGCAAGATCAAAGCCTTCCAAAGTTACATATGGACTTTTGTTGTGTAACTGAATTCTGCAAATTTTTTTCGGATAGCTAGCGGCACTCTGCGATTTTCTGGCACCAAACTCAAAATCGCGAAATTTGAAGCCCCATATTCGAGAGCTTCGTTCTTGATGTCCAGCTTACGGAATCTTATGCTTAAACATCCATTATGAAGCGTAAGACTTCTAATATTTTTAGCATACAAGGTTGTGAATTTAGGTTGAGTCTTTGGAAAGTTATTGAATTTTGTTTGAATTACGCAAGAACTTTCGTGCCAACCTAATATAAGATTAAGACTGGAAGGCTTGATGAATACACCTCCGTGCCAATCTTCTGGGCTTGTATGCATATACATTATTTGCCAAGAAGCGAAGAGAATTGTGGAGAGGAGCTCCACAGAAGGCTCCTGAGATCTTGATTACGTTGCTATTTTACGTTGCTTACCCTCTTCGGGAGCTTGTAGCTTCACCATCAGCGCGTCTGGTAAGAGCGTGTTGTCATAAAAACTCTTTTTCTTCGTTTTGTGTGATCCTTCCGAAATCCGCGGAGTATCGTCTCCTTTTGTGGTCCTTTCGGACGTGCAATTATTGCTGGAAAGGAAGCCTCAATAGTACTCTTTTCTACCACATGAATAAGTTTATAACGAAGTTTGCAGTTTTTTCAACCATGTAAACTTCTTTTTGAGTTTTTGATTTTTCGGATTTCGTTTAATTTCAATTTTCAAGTTCCTCTCACATGTGGACCCGCAAACAGTTAACAGCACTTTTCCGCAACACTGTACTCGACGTTTTTGATTAACAAATGAATTATTCTTGTTACCAAACGAAATTACCGACACTGGCTGAAACACTCACTTTTGTAACAAATGCTTGTTTTGCTAACATAAAACGGAGGAAAAGTTTGGCAATTACCATCATCGGTTACAAAGCAAAATCTGGATTTTAAAAAATTATGTGAGGTTATTCGTGGCAGTGAACGTAGAGAAATGCTTTTGAGCCTCTCAGCAGGTTGGACTGATAGTGGCGGTTGCCGTCGCCAAGCCGAAAGATAGAATCAATCGTGTTTACAGGAAAAAATGAGAACATGCAAGATGTGCTGATGAACCCGTAAAATGCTAAGCACGATTTTAACTAGATTTAATGATGTCCCAAAGAGCTGAAATCTCGTTGAAGCGCTGCTTGCGAATTGCGACCCATTGACATGCTCACCATTTCAGAATTTTATTTGCTCTTGTTAGAAAAGTGGTAAACATTGTTAGATGTGGATTAGATCTAGAACATACCTCTAACACCATTTCTTTGAAAACGAAGAAAGGTCAAGTAATTTCCATTTAGATCAGTTGTGAGGCGAATCTAACATGGCTCTAAAAGTTAATATTTTTCCTTTTTAACTTCCGCTTGATCGTATAATCCGTAGATCATGTGCACAGTTTGTAATCTGAAGTAGGCTCAAACCAGAACCAGATTCTCAGCTGCATCATTTTTTAGTCACGCACAGGAATTTCGGGCATCTATTCAATTTTTATTGTCAAAAATGCATCTACTTAGAGGCAGAAACTCGACAAAACCGAACACTTCTGAATTTTATAGGGACGCGCCCGGACGAGCTCGCAATTTCCCCCGTCGGTGCTGCAATATTATAACTACACAGACAGTCGCAAATTACTCCCGGGGGAAACTGTCTGAAACTTCCGGGAGGACGCTCCATTGGACCGTGTAGGATGGGCCCCGCCCTACCTGGCAGCTCCAATGGGAGAGTGTCCCCCCCCCCCAAAAGTCTTAGAAGTTCATTTTCCCCGGAAGTCATTTGCGATTCTCTGAGTATAACGGTTCCCAGCACGACTCTGCGCCTCCAACTATGAAGGTAGCTGTTCCACTCGTCCAAATTCAAAATGAAGGGCACTAGGAAATGCTGGTTTTCGCTACTCTCGCGCTTTCCAAGGTGGATTTTAGACAGGAGGCACACACCTTCAATAGTCTACATATAGAGTCTCAAAAGTAAAAATTGTGTGAATATGTGCCTTTCATAGAAATAAAGGTCGTTAAAGGAAGTGGCTCGGCAAATCCTCGACCTAAAATTTATTCGCTTAGCTGAGGTACTTCGACGCGCTGGTTTCAAAAATACACCTTGAAGAGCACGAAAGTGTTGAACCAGCACTTTCCAAGGGTTCTCATTTTGACTTTGGACGAGTGAAACACTCCCCGCCATGGTTAGAGACTTAGAGTCGTTGCAGGACCCTCATGTATATAACACTGCGGCATGCCACCTCTGACGGTGTCAGAAGGATCGCAAACTCGTTCGAGCGCGTGTAAGATTGGCTTGTGCGCACCGCACGTGCTTAGGGGCAGTTTTCTGGGCAGGCACAGCATGAAGTGCGCTCGGACCTGCTCTGTTATGATGTTTGGGATGCAATCAACCTTCCATATCAAAACTTCGGGATATGTGGTTTTGCCGAGCCATTACCTTTAATTTAAAAAGAAGAAGAAGAAAGATAACAACAGATAAAAGCAAAAGAAAACCTTGAAAAACCGAAAAAAGCTGCATTAAGTTTGAAATCTTTCATTTGGCGGCATTTCGAATTGCAGGTTTTTTATGAAGGATTCACCGACCCAAATCAGGCAATCCACAGCACGGGGGAAAAAAGTAAAAACGAATCTTTCTCTGTGATTGTTTTAGAAACAACTATGCTCTGAAAGTAATGATTACTAAAATGAAAATAAACAAGAAAAAATTAATTATGAGGGAAAATTTGTTGTTGTTAAGCAAATGCACGTCAACGTTTTTGGTGCATCATTTGACTTTTTAGCCCCTTACTGTTATTCCTTCCCCTGCGACGTTGTCCGGATTGTTGGCTCGCTAGTCTGAGCAATAATAGCCCTAGTTGAAAAAAAAGCTGCGAAAGCACTGAAAGTGGAAAAGGGGAAAAGCGCATTTTTTGACAAAAAACCTGTTATAATCGAAAAAGTAAGCTCTGCGACGTTGTCTACATTATAGACAGAAGCATGATCTGCCGAATGCACGAAAAAACCGCGCTGAAGAAATTTGAACTAAAGAAAAACCAAAAGGTTTTCGAAAACAATCTCAGGTATTTGCCAGATTTCTCGGATTATAGGGTAAATCGGATTGTAGGGTTTTGCGACGTCGTCACGTGAAAGTAGAGAGCAAGAGCTTCAGTTTGTTTTAAAGTTTGCTAGAATTGTTTACAAAACAACGAAGAAAAGGGTGCCGAAGCCAAATGCCTCGTGCCTCGCGCTTGGTGTAGCGTGCAACGCGTGGATTCAGAGAAGCATAGGAGAAAGATCAGGGCCGACGGGCATTTGACTCTATTCATAGATCTCGTAACGAGATCGTGCAACAATTATATCATTCTGATAGTCATGACACAACTAGGAGCACTGACAATGTCACATGTTGAAAATCATAATAACGAAATAAACCTTAATGATCTTCAAGAACGTCGGTGAACTTTCGAAGCTCAATCATAAACTAAAAAAGGTTATTTGAAAGATCTTGTCCAGAATTTTGTGAAAATTCACGAAAAACCTGGTTTTCAGCATAAGAAAGGCTATGAA